CCGTGCAGGGCAGTTTTGTCCTACTGGGCATAGGGTCGCTTGCTATGAGTTGGAACCACCTTAATGACACCTAACAACAACAGTGAGCTCAAGGTTGATTTGGGGATAACCCAAGATTTACACAAGGACTTATTTTCTTCTCTATGTTTCCAGAGTGTCAGAAAAACTACACTAGATCAGATTTGGGAAATTTTCTTTTCTTCTTTCATCTGATCTTCATGAAAAGTACAAGCAGAAGGATTAAGAAGTTTTGGACACCTAAATCAACTTCTCTGCTCTCTGTAGGATCTCTTGACAATTTGGGATTGGATAATACATTTGACAAATGGTCTCTCAGTTATTTTCCTTCCTTTCTCTTCAGAGCTGTCAACCAAGGAGCCAGTAAAGTTATCTGGACCATATTTAAAGGCCTGTGCATCGAAAACGGCTCCCTAGTTCTCTTCTCTCTGAACTCAATTATTCTAACATCAAGAAAGAGCTTTCTAAAGATGGAGTAAGGAAGACACTCGGCAGACTGCAAGGAGCATTCTGCTGGACCTTGCTATGCATGAATTCAGTGCTTCAAAATGCCTTTGTAGGTAAATCAGGGAGATTTATTCAACTCTGCTGTAACATATTTCCCATTTTCTATAAAAATTGCTTCCTATACTTAAAAAGTTAAAAATCTAAGTTTTTGCTTGACTTGCATTATGTCACAGACATTCAGGCCAGGCTATGACCCCCAGTCTCAGCCACTGATAATGAAGAATTGGTTTTCATCTAAAAACTGTTAAGGGAGTTGGAATTTGAGACTGAGGAGGGAGCCCTTTAATTCTTTCATTCTCTTCCTTCTTTATCTTAATACTTCATTACAGCCTCTGAAATTTCAACTGAATATTTCACTTAATATGAACCGTTCTCTCACCAAGATAGAATCTTTGTTCACACATATAATGCATCTCCAAGGAAAGCAGAATACAAATGCCAAGAATTCGCAGAACTGGCACAACTCAGACTTGTTTGCCACATGTCAAACACAGGCTTCAACAGAACACTCACTACCATGCAACATGGCTTTTTTGTTTGGTTGTTGTTTTATAAACTGTCAAATGTGCAAAGAAACAAACACAGGGCCATTTAGTTATCAAGCATGCTAGATTTTCAAAACAGCAAGAAAAGAGTTTCTAATAATACAGCAATGCCCCATGATGACCCAGCTACAGGATACCTTTATAATCAAACGTCGGCGAATAACTCGAGTAGTGACTCTCCGTTCCTCCCCTGAGCTGGAATCACTCTCACTGTCTTTAAAGTCCTAGTAAATGCATTTTTAGTATAACTTTACCATCACATTTAAAATAAAAACATTCTGAGAAGAGAAATCAGGAAAGAATTACTTTTACTTGCTATTCCCCCACCCCGCCAAGGAAAATCATGATGTGTATTTGTGAGAATCTTAAAAAATTTTTAAGTGGAAGAAAAATTTTGAGCAGGATTCTAGATGAAATTACTCTAGAGAAATTATTCTAAATGAAGATCAAAGCAAGTAAATTATTAGTAATAATTATACAGCCTTTTTGGCATTAGAAAACTACATGCTACTAATTATTAAAGAAACATATTCATTTGACTTCAATGAGTCAACTTGGAGGTTGGACCATATTTCACTTCATCTACAGAAAGGGGCAAACTATTTCTGATTTTTATAAAAATTTGGTCAGATTTGACAACATTATTGAAAGCTATTTTGAACTTCAAAGAGTAAAAAATCTACATCAGCATAATTTGGCATTTATATTTACGTTTATCAGTAGTTTTTACCAACATAATTGGTGCTCAGTAAGATGTCTTCAAATGAATGAATAACAAACATGTAAAAGTTTGAAATGTTTTTTTAAAGAATTGTTATGAAATTTAAAAAAGCACATTTTATAGACAAGAGTATGGATGTACACTAAGTACACAAAATACTAAACTAGGCAGTAAGGATAGGAATAAAGAAAAACTACCAAGTGGCAAACAATTCCTAACTCAAGGGGAAAAAAATATTTTGCTTCTACTTAAATGCCATGAAGCATATTCACTGAATGATTGTATTTCTAATTTTAATGGTGGGATTCTGAAAAGAATTCTAGTGTTTTATTTTCTAAGTTTACTAGTTACCTCAAATCTAACAGTTCTGGCGACAGGCGATATAGTTAATGGAAGGTAAAATGAATGGCAACATCTTTTCCAATTTTTTTACAAATAAGTAAAATTGCTATAGGAAGTATGGATGTTAGATAAGATGATCTGTGAGATTATAAATTTTTCATCAAAAGTGAACTTGAAACATTTACTTTTAAATGTTATAGTAATCGCAACCTCAATTTTGTAAGACATTAACATCTGATCAAAATACCCCTGTAAATAAAATGTCAAAATAGTTTTCAACTTCTTTACTCCTTACAAAGATATTCTCTATTATTGCAAAATTCCCTATTTTTTAAAATTTTTCAGAGAAGGACAGCAAATCTAGTATACTTAGAATGATCCAAGGACTGTGAAAGGAGGCTCTGCTAGGCTCAAAAAAGCAGAAAAAGGTAAGAGGAATTCCTATTGATAAGAGAAAACAATTACCAGTAAGCATTCAAGGATTAATGGGTTTAATGAGGCAAAAGGGAAAAATTCAACCTGAATTATCTGTTTATCTATACATGCAATCTTAAATTGAGGAAAGGTTTTCACTTGGGGAAAATTCAAAAGCAGATGAACACATGTTAATACAAACACAAACAACCTAGATGTCAGTTACTTCATCATTCTCTTGAGAGTCAGCTGAGACCAGCCCCTTACATAAGACAAAAGTGGCCATTTGGCCAGTGTTTCAATTCCCACTTTCTCCTTGGAGTCTCTGCTAACCCTAAGGTGAAGGGTAGAGAAGACAATAAGCAGAATCTCAGATCAAGATTTCTTCTGGAGAATTCTCTAGGAAGTGGCAAAAGGGGAAACTAGGAGACCAAATGGGATCTTCTCATCACTCCTTGTCATGGGTTCTGGCACAGAAAGAGGTCGAAAATACAGATTTTTACCTTGTAACAGCAGGCAGCCATCCGTGTAAGAGCCGCACCCGGACTTTTGACCTGATTTTTTAGGGGACAAAAAGGGGACTGTTTTCTGAGATCATATATAAGTTGGTTGCTACTGCACTATGGTCTGGCCACAAAAGACATCCTAAACATCTTTGGATTTCTTGTGAGGTCAGGCTCATATCTCCTAGAAGCTTTCACTCAGTATGAATTTTTATGGTCATGAAGCCTTTATGCATTGGGGAAGGACCGGTGATAACCAATACCAAACAAACTCATAAGAAATCTTAAACACTTTATCTAACAGTAACTATTTTCCATTACTAATGAACTCAGCTGAGTTTCCATTCAGGATTAAGACCTTCGTTTCCACACCCTCTTTATTACTTCTTAATGGCCAATATGGATGTATGTATACACATAATGGTGCTTATTTATATTATAATCTGCATTCAGAACTTCTCTATTTTTAATAGGCTTTTGCAGAATAAATCTTCACAGTTCAATCATTATGTTATTGCTTCATCCCTATATGTTTTTTTGAGCTCATTTTAGAAGGGAGCATTCCATCCAAACTAATATAATACTGCTTAAATATACTAAGAGTCAACTGAAACACAGAAATCAATAAGACAGAAATCAATACTCGAAACCATACTGGTGAAGAAGAAAATCAAAGAAAGGATGAGAAAGGACTCAAACAAAAAAGCTTAAAAGAACTGATTCAATCAATGATTATTGGTGGTGGTAGAGTAATCATATGCTTAAATGATATCCTAAAATAATATCCAGTTGATTAATAACTGCCTTCACCAACTCCTATATCAAAGCAACTAACGGGAAAAATGGACAGATCAGAATTTTATGGACGGATCAGAGTTTTACTTGGTCTCTCACTTTCCCTTCTAACAAGCAGGAAAATGGTCAAAAGATAGGATGCATAACGACAAAGCCAATAATTAGCTCCTGAGTGACTGGGAGTTGACGACTAGAAGTTTTTCCAAACCTCAACTTAATCATGGACTCATTATTTTAGAAAAGATTTGTTTTCTCCCCCAAGACACTGTGGTAGAACTTAAGTGAACTCATTTTTTTTTTTCAAATGGGAAAACTGCAAGTGCCACTCTTCTGAAACCATAACTCTCAACTGTCTATCTTCAAGCTCATGAAAAAGCATGAAAAGCAGTAAGAAATAGAGCTGACTTTTATTTTCTAATATCCATTTACCAGTCATATTTTCAGTATAAAATTTTAAATATCTAAAAAATGGTAAACCTCAAAGAATAAAAAAACGGAGGGTAACACAAAAACATTGAAGTACAAAGAGCAAGCAATTAATTCTATCACACTAAGGTTTTAAAATTATTGAAAACAAGATAATTACCACTGTAAATATGAAAATTATTAAAAATGGTATTTCTGACTTAAAATTTCTAACTGCTGGCAACAAAGAGTGGTATACACCCGTCTCATTTTAGGTTGGGAAATTGTGTTTCTTTAATTTTAAAATACCATGCCTTTTAAACAAAAGACCTTACCGGGCAGAACTCCAAGATGGAGTCAGATGCTTATAGATTCTTTAAATTATACTAAAGGACCAGAAGTTCTATCCTCCTTCCATAAGAAGACTGGGTTGGGAGTTAGGAAGCCTATATTCCAGACAAAATACTGGACTTTAAGCTAGTTACTTAACATCTCTGTTATTCTTTCTTCCCGGAAAGTGGCTAGAGAGATGCTTATTTTTCCTACCTGATGAATAAAGATATGATCGAATAATGTGTTTTAGTTAATAATTTTTTTTACCCCCACCATTAGTGCTACAACTTCACACATTTATAATTTAGAAGGAAACAATAAAGAACCTTGGGCCCACTGCCACAGATTTATCAAAAGAAGCGAAGCATTAGTAATTTCAATTTAAATGAGAGGACACTGGATAACCAGATGACATACCTTTTGTTCAGACCCACTGGACCCCTCTTCTTCATGGAGGTTGAGCCGTGGCTTGCCATCTGCAGGAGAAGTCCTACTCATCTTTTTCATACTGACAGGCACACAGGGTTTAGGGTCTTCTAGTACGAGCTTGCTAGTTTCTTCCAGAGATTTCTGATACGCTGCTAGTGGTGATGCTGGTTCTTCAACACGGCCAGATCCATGTGTTCTTGGTTTCAAAGTTTCCTTAGCACTCTGTCTTCCTACATCATTTTGGGATTCTGAAAAGTAAGATTTAGTCTTTGCTTCTGGAGTGACTTCTGCATGGCTTCCATTTGCTTCAAATTTTCCAGGTTCTCCTTTGAGATATGAGGTAATGGAATCCCTACACTGGTCAGGGCTATGAAAGATAAAATGCACACATTTACAATGGCAACGTATGACTGAAAGAAGCCTTCAGAAGCTGCAAAAGTTTTAACAATCATGCTTGTAACTTTCTGAAGTTAGAAAATAGAAAAAGCAGGAAAAATAGAAAAGGCAGGAAAAGTCTGGTTACTCGATTACAAACTGTGAGGGACTACCATGGGTGTGGGGGTGAGGAGGAGCTACATAGGCCCTAAGGCATCCCCCACACCCCAACTCCCAACCTGGCTAGCTCTGCTGCCATCTTTTCTTTTTTTCAATTGAAGTTTTATAGCTACTTGGATTCTGTATCTTGAAAAGTTATCCCGAGAGGTTCATGGATATACCTAGAGTTCCAAACTCATCACTCTAAAAAGGGAGGATATTTCAAAATGCTCTCACATTACCAGTGATAGAAAGAAAACTGCTGGCAAAAGACAAAATGAATACCTGTCATAAAAATTCTAGCATCCCCAAGAAACCCAAATTTTAGTTCTTTGTTTGTGTTTTCCATTGCAAATATTGGCATAATGCTTTTCCAACCATAATGGTCCTACTTTCTCTACTCCTGACCTCTGCTGACTTCTCCCAGTGGTGATCAGACTGTTGTCGCACGCCCTTTGCTTCTACTTATTCTGAGGTCATTTTTCCTTTTAATTATTAAAAATTTTTCTCTTCCAACACTTTCCTTTAAATCGACTTCTAATTTTTCCTGATGTTAGTATAGACTATTCCTTTTATTTTGTAACTTGTGTATTCTTTTTAGTGTCTTTGCTTATTACCTGTGTGTATACTTAAACACACACACACACACACAGAAACCTGTGAGAGCCGGAACTCCATGGGACTGCCTTGTTTTTAGAGGTCTCACAAGTTTTCTGCCTTTGACAGGATACAGTCTTACCACTTTTCTATCGCTTGTTTTAGTGAAAAATATTTGAGTTTTTCTTCTCTGACAGGTTTTTGTCTTACACAGGTTCCAGCTTTCATAGATTATGTATATGTGTGTGTGTGTACATATATATATATATATATATATAAAATATATATAGTATTATAGTGTGTATGTATGTATATACTTTTAAATGAAATTCTGATCATCTGAACACTTCCTTTTTAAAAAAAATAGCAATGTATGTGTAAGGTCAAAAGTCAAAGAGTCCTACGTAATGTGAAGAGTTTATTTCCATTCCCTAGACTATACTGCTTGCCTAAGTTTTCTTACCCTACATATGATACGCTCATACCAGAGCTATAGTTACTGGCATTCTTTTAGCTCTATGGAACAAGGTGACTCATTGGTATTTTTTTCCTATATAATTCACTGGCAGAGCCTATATAAAATAAAGACTTTGGTCAGCCAGTTTCATAAAAATGAACACCTTTCCTATATCTATCCCTGTATCCTAATATGCAACTATAGACTATGTGACCATAAACACAAACATCAAAAGTAGTGCTATTTGTTTTCTTCTCCATAGTCACTTTTATATGCTATACATAGAATTCATTCATCCTTCTATTTTTTTTTTTTTAAAGGAATTTTGTAAATTCCCTCTTTGGGAATTTTTGAGCAAAACGCTTGTCGGCAATATTAAAATAAATTAAATATGGCTATGAAATAACTTCAGTTCTCTTGCTTTCGACATAAGTTTATCACTGGTTGCCAATGAAGTAAAATATACTTTAGACTAATGTGTTCATAAATAGAAATAATGCCTATTATTACTGAGAGACTATTACTTGGACTAGACACTTGGTATGCTTTCTTTTTGGATCCATAAAACTGCTTGGGATAAGTAGCAGTGTTTTATTTTTAAAGTGACATTCTTGGATCTTAGAAACTCATTCAAAGTCACACTTAGAAACTCATTCAAAGTCACAAAGTGTATTCCTGACGGCAGTGGGATTTTAAACCAATGTCTGGGACTCCAGACTTCCACCACTCTAGAGTGGGGCCAGTGGCACATTGTATAAAAACACAAACTGTATTCCTGGTCAGGGAATTATTTTGGTTATAAACAAATTTCTATCATGGTAATATTATTTAGAGTAAAGAAGCATATATCTGGCATGTTTCTAATTATGTAAAATAATATTCATGTATAAAAATGTAAGGAAGGATATGTAAAAAATGTTAACAGTGTTTTCCTTTATATAGTTGGAGGTTAGATGACTTTTCTTTTTGCTTCTCTGCATTTTAAGAAATGTGCACAGAAGAAGGGAAATATACCAACAATTTTATGGTGATCATTGCTACGTGGTGGGATTGTATTGATTTTTTTCACCTGTATTCTTAAATTTTGTATAATAAGCATATTTATGTTTGTAGTCAGCAAACATAGAAATGCTTATATTTCTAAAAGAGTTGGACTTGTATTTATCAAATTATTTTGAATGAATATTAATTACCAGTTATGTGAAAAAGAATAATACGTCTCTGGCAAGTATAGTAACATTTTTTTCCATTTTCAGGTTCTCAATGGTTTTGAGAATTATATTTGAATTTAAAGTAAATTTCCCTCTCCAGATCTAGCACAATCAACAAACTTTTAAAGCAGGAATTATCCTCAGACTGGAATGGTAATTTCGAAAACGAAGCATTGCTTAAAACATATTTAAAACAAACCATTAACATGTAACCTGTGTTTCACTTTCCTTTTTCTTAAATAGAGCCATACCTGTCATCCAGTCGATCTAGTAACCCACCAGTTATTCTCCGAGCTTGAGCAGGGGACTCTAGGTTTCCACTTGATGTCTCATTCTGCCAACCTGTAATTGAAGACATTTCCCGTTCTGCTTGCTGAACACGTTTAAGAATAGCCTGTAATTTTTCTTCTGTCATCTCCTCAGACTCAACTCCTTCTTCAAGTTGAATGTCTTCAAATAGACATTTGAATTTTTCTTCCATAATCTCCTCATCAGGACCAGATTTTTCCTTCTCCTGCTGCTCAGAGCTTACTCCTACTTTTCTAGTCTGTTTCAGTGGCTCTGCTGGTTTAACATCTTTTGGGACCCCGGTCAAACTTCCAAGGTATTGAGGATACTCACTCAGATACACATCCTCCAAATGGCTCTCAAAATGGCTCTCATCTACATCCACTGCTCCAGGCATTTCTGTTAAAGGCACTGAATCTTCCAGTTTGCTGTCTTCTACGGAAGTGTCTTCTGCAGTTACAACTGGAGGTCCATCTGCTGAATGTTCTACGTTTCCCTGGGAAGGCACTAGCCCATCACTCAGTCTACTGGGGGTTCTAAGGGGAGACTCTATGCTAGAGATATCACTAAAATAATCATCTTGCTGGAAAGGGGTGGGTGGTATGTAGTGTAACCCTGTGGGAGTTTCCAGTTCCACTTGAAGGGAAGGATAACCTATGGAAGACAGTACATTTGGACTAACTGGAATGAAATAGAGCACATCAAACAAAACATATAACAAAACACATGGAATAACTAAAATTATAGCAAGTATGAAAATGTATGATGAATTACAGATTAATGTTGATAAATTTATCGGCTTAGTTCAATTAAATATAACATAATGGAATAAAAAGCCTAGTACAAGCTACAATAAAATAAAATACAAATTAAGGTATGATTGTTTCTACCAATTTTGGTAATTTGAATATAATGACATAAATAAGGAAACTAATTTAATGCAATATAAAGTTAGTTGTCATCATATACATTTATTTCATGGCCAAATTTATTATTTTCTTACTTTTAGCATGCAATATTTATATTGTGGTAGAAGGCATGCAGCAACCACAAGAACCCAATTTTTGGAAATAATTACTTATAACTTACTTTAAAAACTGTACATATTAGCAATGCAACCCAACTCTAATTCTTATTTCACATGAAATTTATAGCAAAGAAAAATGAATTTAATCTTTGGAAGGAAATGATTATTAGATTTTAGAGCAGTGGCACTGAGAAAAAATCTAAAAAGATGTTTGAGGAAAAGGATTTAAAAAGCTGAGACAAAGCAAGAACTGTAAGTTTTCAGGTATCATAATGTGACAGAGATGAAAGGGCTGTGGTGTATATGGAGGTCTTGGTGAGAGTTCCAGTCTGAACCACAAACCAAATAAAGAGAAAAAAGACATGGTAGACAACAGACACAGGGGAAAAACCACTGGCAAAGGGCACACTGAATATTCACAAGAACAGTATGAAACACAGAGGTTTCTTGCCAGCTACACAACGGGGAAGGAGGGAGCAGTAGTATCCTTGTTTTAAACATTGCTACGTGGACTAGGGAAGTCTTTTTCTGCTTCAGCAGAGAGAAAAGTCAATAAGGGTCTGGTCATGGTGAGGAAAGGAACTTCCACAAAAGTTTAAAGAAGAGGAGAGACAGGAAAAAAAAAAGGCAACCAAGCAAATTTTCTGACTCATTGGTCTATAAAACTAATGGCTACTTTTCCATCAATCAAAGACAAATACCAGCTTGGCTTTTTGTTGAAAAGTTGGCTAAAATTAGCGGAAGTTTATAATCTGCATAAGTGAAATTGAGTTTATACACACATTCCTAAGTTTCTCTAAGAATTTTTAACGAGGAATATAACATTAAGGTATAGCAGCAAAAAGCGTTTGTAAATTTACTTTAATGATACTCAAATTTAAAAATGTTAACTGCAGCTTTCGAGTCCATTCAATACTTCCATTGCCTTCTGGTGATCTTTTTTTTATTAGAACTACTTTTCTTAAAATATTTTTCCCAATAAATTTATAAACTATTACTTGGCAACAATTCAGAACTTGATATGACACTGGCCTATATTTATCTAGTGCAAAGAGAGTTTGGATACCATTATACAGCCTCGTGTATAACGCAAGATCCTGAAAAAAACAGCATTTTTTTTCAAGGCTCTACAGCCTTTATAAGCTTAAAAAGAAACCACTTTTGACATTCTTACCCACCATGTCTATAGCATGGGGAAACAAGGTATGCTTTAGATTTTTTGAGAATTTGAGATCCTTTGCCACTTAACATAAATTAGAAGTTGCTGATTCTTGTTAGTCTAACTTTGTCAGTTTAAAAAATGGAAAAGTCACCATATTTTAAAAACTTGGAATAGAAGAATGTCCCTACTCCTCTTCCTGCCTTCACACCATCAACATTTTTTACCCAAAATTCATTGTAGGAATAAATTTCCATTTTTGAAGGATAAGACAGAAGCATCTTGAAAAACATTGTTTTTCTTAATACTTTAGGTAAATTGGGGCATTTTTCATCAATGAAGGAAGATGATAATTATATAAATTAAGCTAATGTGAGAGTTATTATTATGTTATTGACATCTATGCTCACTGAATTAGAAATAATGCTGCTTTTATATATGATAGATCAAGTAGGATTTTTCTAAAGAATAAACAGCCACATCTGCTGTTAAAATGATGCTAAATAACTAAAGCTCTGATTTGATTGCTATATTACACTTTTTCAGTTCACACTTTAGTACTTTGTCCCTGAATGGTAATCCACTATTAATAATCTGTACACCATATGCTTAAGCTTGACCCAATACTTTGCTTACTTGGTAAAATGGCTCACAATTTGCTTTTACGTTTATATGAATAAAGGAGATCACTAGTTCTTTGGTTAATGTAAAAATGAAAAATGACAAAATTCATGCATTCTCATTGGGTCATAAAAAATATATGAAATACCAACTGCTTCAGATAACTTATGCTTTTATACCTCATTGTTTGTAATTTTTATAACACAGGCTTAACCAAGTTAGCTCTGATATCAGTGTTTATTTGCAGACTCTGGCAGAGAAAATGCTGTGAAAATGAGAAAGTAAGTCAAGTGAATCAGACTTCAGTTGGTTTTAAATGACTGCCTTGTCCAACTGTACTTTCCAGTTTTATCAAATGATTAAATAAATAATGAACAGTAAATTCAATTACCATCAACAGGGTCATGGAAAACACTGTTCTCATCTGCAAAACTCCTGGTGCCTGAAATGTTTCCATAATCAAATATTGGGCCTTCCAGCAGAGTCACTATATCTATTCGATTAATTTTTGTCAAGACTGAAGTTAAGGCATCAGCTGAAAAGGGGCAGGAAAAAAAAGGATGAAAACCCAATTAAGAAATTATTTTCTTCTTCCAGGAAGCACAATATCCACACAAAGGCATGCTTTTTGTGACCCTCCTGGCATTTTAGCTTCTCCCTACTCCAGCTCTGGAAAACCCTGGTAGCGCGGTAGTTAAGAGCTCAGCTCTTAACCAAAAGGTTGGCAGTTCGAATCCACCAGGTGCTCCTTGGAAACTCTGTGGGGCAGTACTATTCTGTCCTATAGGGTCGGAATTGACTTGACGGCAACGGGTCTTTTTTGGGTTTTACTCCAGCTCTGCAATATCACTGTGTAGTGGGCTGAGAATGCTCCCTGCTGCAAGGAAGACATACTTAGAGTTCAGAATCACCTTGTGAAGCTGTCTCTGATGACACCAGCTTTCACTGCACTGTTACAGAGCATATGGGCATCAAAATAACTAGACTCCTTTTAGCTACAAAGGGATCCAATAAACTTTAAACAAGTTCCATGCCTTTAAAGATGCCAAAATAGGCCACCTTCAAAATTCGATGCTTAACATTTTAACACCTTATTAAGGTCAGGCTGACACAGGCAAACTCACAATAACTTATTCCCATTGTTGTGGGTTGGCATTTGCCATAGTATAGCACCCCCACTCATCAAAATAAAACAAAAAATACTAGAGAATTTCTGTTACCACAAACCAAGATGAATAAAATGATCTGTTCACCTAACTTAATCCTATCCTTCCTTCTCCACCTCCCTGCTTATCTACCTGTGGCCACAACAGTGGTTTCAGAGTGTTTCTGACAACCATCCCACGATTTAACAGCTAGAATTGTTTTCGTTTTGATGGCCACAGAACTCTGGGCAAAACGCAAAAGATCCCCACTACTTGCTTTCCCAAAAGCATCCAGACACAAAAGTTTATAGAGTATTAGCACTAAATTACACAAGTGTAACTTCAAATGACTTGCCATTACTTTATGATTGCTCTAATTTCTTATATTAAAAATTACAGAAAACTTAGAACAGTATTTCAAATGAAAATAACAGTACGCTTATCTAAAATATTGGATACATGCAGTTTCGAAAGTTGAAGTAATATAATTTCGGCATACTTGTAGCATTTTTTCCATCTCTGGTAACCCATTTTTTCAATAACATGAAGCTTTGAGAAATTAAAGAATTAGGGTTTTCCACACGTATCTGATTGATTTCATCCACGGAAAAATTCAGTTCCCTTGCCAGTTCTGTAAAAAAGAAAAAGAGTTACTAAGATTTCATGTTCTATTTTTGTCATACATATATTTCATAAAAGTAATGCTCAATTGCCACACACATACAAAAGAAGTTTATAGCAAAGCCCAAGGACAGCCTTGGACATTATAGCCTTGATTTTACAAGATAGCAGTGATCATACACAGGCGGTGATTTAGTTCTCTTGTGAAAATAAGAGGATGTTACTTAATTCTTTTAATTCAGCCGAATTATTCTCTGCAATTTGAGCAAACTGCATAAAAGATAAGGTAGAGGTACAGTTCATAAACATGGCACAAGTTTTATGAAGTACATCTTCTACTCACATAATATCTGCTCTGCTGGGTGGCTATGAGTCACAATCAACTCGACAGCAATGGGTTTGGTTTTTTTTTTTTTTTTTTTTGTTGGTTCCAGCTTCATGAACTGCACTCAGATATGCTAAATGAAGATTCTAAGTTTGATTACCTTTCTATTCATGTACATGTATATATCCATACATTCAATCTTGTAAATGCAGACAATGTCTTTGGAAAGATACATATGAGTATTAGCGGCTGCCTTGAGAGAGGGAAATAGTCAACGGTGGAAAAGAGTCTTACTTTTCACACTCTCTCTGTATATATTTGTGTAATTTGAAAAAAACTATCAGGTGTTTATTACTCTAAGTGATTGTAGACAGTAAAATGGAAAAAATATTGGTCAAGACTCTAACCCCCTTAAGTAAACTGGAAAGATTACCAGCAATTTGGCAAAATGCATTCACATGCTCAAAAAAATCCATATCCTCTGACCAAGTGATTCATTTCTAGGAATCCTGACAATACATATGGGTTGTACACAATTATTTATATACATGAATGTTCACTGCAGGCTTGTACTACTGAAAAAACGAAAACAATCCAAATGTTGAATAAAAGAAGAGTTAATTAATATAAAGCAGTGACTTGAAAACCTTTCTGATCATGACCTACAGTTAGAAATACATTGTATAGCACAGTGATTATATAACTGAAACCAGATCGTCATGGAGCAAAACTTAGTCTTAATACATGTAATTCGTAGACATTATTTTTTTCTACTCTATTCCATTTAAAAACAAAAAGTCGTGAATTGATTTCATCACTCACTAATGCCACATCATTGTATGGTATGTCTACTGGCTATGTTATCATCCAGTAACAATGAGATCACAGAATATTTAGCTTTATAGAAAACTATGTAATTATAAATAAAGCAGAAAATTACATTGTATATCTAAAAATATAAAAGATTTTTATAAAAAAAATTGAAGTACATTAAGATGTTAGCAGTGGTTCTGAGGGACAGATTTAATTTGCCTAATAATTTTCATTGAGAATACAGTAATTCTATTAGAAAACTTATTTTTTAAATTCCTCTTGTCATTTAAGAGACAATACTCCCACTGCCCAACAAGACCTCATGACAGAACTGCATCCATTGTATGGAGTCTCACTGAAGTGCAAAGACATGCTGTCACTAAGAATTTTATAGTATGCTAGATGAAATTTTAGTTTAGTGCACAGGTTCAGAGGTTGAGAATGGAGGCAGGGTTGGGGGTGATGTATCATTGTTGACATGAAGAAATCCTAGGGCAGTGTTGCCAAAAATAGTTTTATATTTGGTTATTCTTGTGCCATCTTTTCTCTGAAAATTTACTCTAAGAACTGTATTTACTTTAGAAAAAAAATCTAATAATCATGGGCACGCATTTACTGCAAAATCAATATTTGCACCAGTACATTTTCAGATTATAATGTATAATGCTAAAGTATAATTATTATTAATTTGACTGTTAGCAAATATTTACACGCAGTGAATTACTGTTAACGCTCAGCCACCTGCAAAAGGATAACTGAAATCACCTGTCTTTTCAAAGCTTACGTAGGCTCCTGGTCATTAGCAAACTGCCGGAGAACAGGAACTAGGTGGAAGGAGACCAGAGGGTTTGATGTGGTTGCGGGGGGGGAGGGAGTGTGGGGAGTACTGAGAACATTCAAAGTAAAAATACGCCTTCTCCTCACTTATCAACTATCTTGTTATCCAATATTTCACATTTATGACAAAAGTAAAAAATCTACCATCTGACTATTTTGCACATTAATGATGTACGTCTGGCAATAATGAATGCCAACGTGTGAGGCAAGAGTCACGCTGGCTTTGATGGTTAAGGTTTTATGTCAGCTTGGCTGGGTCATGATTATCAGTGGTTTGACAGATGTAATGATGTAGTCATTCTCCATTTTTGTGACCTGATGTGGCCATCTTCCATTTTCGCATAATGCCGATTTCACGTAACAACCTGGTCTTTGGAAACTAACAATGTTGATAAGCGAGGAAAGGGTTAATTTAGATGAACTAGCTTCCCATATCTATTTTTGTATTCTCCCTTTTAATAATGTAGATAATTGTTAACCCAAATATGGAATGTATATTGGTGATGGTATGCAAGATGTCAGATGTGGGAAAAAAAACAACATTATTTTAGCTATTGTGTTTTTGGCTGTGCATTTAAAAATGTACACTCAACCTGTCAAATTTAAAATTCTCAGATTCATGTGAGATAGGACTTTGGGGCCTGTTAACATCAAAACTAAATACAGAATTGTCTCATTCATACAGAACCTCATTTTTATCTTTAATGTAGTGAAATCAAGCCAAATATTCACTTTCTACACATTGGTCATGTGTACATGGTTACATCCATTTCACAGAAGACCCTAACTACTTTTAAAATTGAATAGATTTCTTTACTTGTGTCCTGTCTTTTATTTTAATTTAAAATTTAGGCTTACTGTCATTCCTTTGTTTTCTTGTTTATATAGTTATTACAAATGATCCTGTCTTCCATTATCAAAGTAATAAGGTTTTCCTTTCAAATAAATCTTTGAGCATAATCCACTTAAGAAAAGCATCTGATAAAGAAACATATAGACAGTATATGTATATCACAAATATTGTGAAGATGACTCACGAATGACTAAAAATTTGTGAAACCTAGGCATGAGTTAATTGAACTGTTGCCTAAGAGAGCTGCTCTAAAGGTATGCATCATGTTAAATAATTTGGATTATTTAAAAGTGACAGACCACAGCTTTGTTTTCCTTTATGCCACAAAATACATTTGTTACTAGGTAAAAGTTTATTCTATATTACCAGAAATGGCATTGTGAAGAAAGTAGTTTTAAATTCAAGGTAAAACGGGATTTTAAATTCCATTCCCTAGTGTATATATAATATATATATATGCAAAAATCTTGGGGGAAAACTCAGTATACAAGGTACTGTCACTAATTTTATCTGGATAGATAATATGTAACATTTTTATCACCCATAATTCTATTTTTTGCTTGTTTCTATTTTTTATAATGAACTGCTTCTACATAAGACACAGAAATTAAGACACTTTGTTTCATTCAGGAGTGTACACACTTACCTGTCCAACTAAGTCCCAGGTGATCGGCTACTATTGCCATCCTGATATCTGTCCGTTCACATGGACTCTGTGGACCTACGATTTACAATTTCTTAATTAAAATAAACATCAAGAAAGATACGATACTGGAAAATTGCTTTTAGCAGTTCTCAGATTTTACAGAGACTAATGCTAACACTGTACATTTAAATGTGTCCTAATCACCTACATGAACACTTCTCTTTTCACATGGCTCACTTATTTTTCACCTACATCAGGCCAAATGTCAGACTACATGGATGCTCAATGTAATGGAACTGAACATGCTGACAAGCTAGCTACTTTACAACAGTTACAGAATTGTTGTGTTGTGAAAACACCATGATGGGATGTCAACATCTGTGCTTTTACTTGGACAGAATCATATCCGTTCGCACATCTTGAATGACACCAATATCTTCAGCATGCTTCCCTAGCTGTCTAGAGTGTAGTTTGATTAAAAGGAAGAAAGAAGGGTATATAAGACAGCACATACAGATGACAATGACAGAATGAGAAACTACGGTTAAGTCACTCCACAGGCAATCACAACAGTTCATGCACTAGGATCTACAAGTTGGAAAGTGTTTACAAACTAAGCTTGTTCTCCAGGATGTGAGCAAAGAGCGCTCAAGAAACCTGACTGCCTTCATTCTCACCAGTCCTCCTACTGCTCCTTTTCTCACTGCCGGCTTTTTCACTCTTTGATTTTAAAGGTGCTGCCTCTGTTTTCTTATCTCTAGCAGGCTTCGTTGTAACTGAAGGCTGGCCACCCCGGGAAGTCTCGGACAACGACGTATTTCTGGAGGTACTGTCTTCCTCATCGGACAAATCGGGTTGCATCTTTTTGTCTTCTTCAGAGAGGCGGTCCACAAGCTTTAAGGTCTCACCACTAATTCCCTTAAAATATTCAATGGAATGTTTACAAACTTCCTTAAGCTGACTTTTCCTAACTTTAACTGTGGTGGTGGTGGAGGTGGTGGTGGTGGTAGTGACACAAGTAGATCTTACCTTTACTGGCAACTTGGATGGAAGCTGTTTGGCCTTGCCCTTCTCTGGCTGACCTTGCTTTTGTGTGGCACATGCTTTTCTAACTGAAGATGTGTTATCCCTGTGTGTGTTTTTCACTGGAATTCTAGACTTTACATCTATGCACGAAGATGAAGTAACAGCTCTGGTTTTCTCAGATGGACTAACCTGCTTCTTTTTACTCGCTTTAATGTTTGGCATATGATTTGGTGGGAAGGTATCTTTTGGTGAAGTGGCCTTTATGGGAAGTTTGGATTTTCGCCTAACCCCTACCAATTCTCTTGTCTTTTGCTGCTCTCCAAGAACTTTCTGCTTATCTCTTACACAGTGTCCTTGTAGTATCCCTGTCTTTTTTCCAGATGAGCTTTTCACTGGATTAGCTTTGTCTGTGGTACAAGTGGGGGCAGGATGTTCTGTCAGAACTACATTACTTGTAATGTTATCTGTCTGTATAATGGAAGAATCCAAATTGTTGTTGTTATTAAAATTATCTTTTTGAAAATCATGTTTTTCTTGAGGCCTAACGCCCATCTGGCTATTAGCTGTATTTGAAATCATTATAGTTTCATTCTCTAATCCCTGACAACTGGTCATCACAGCTTCTAGCTTATCTGTTACTTCTCCAGGGCCTTCTTTCTTCATGGTCATGGTGGATGCTGAAATTCCCATTTTTATAGGTGTGCGCAACTTGGGGTCAACTTTAGAGGTATTAGTGGCTGCTGCTGATTTCTCCAGGGAGCCACTACTGGATGTGCCTTCCTGACAATCTCCGCTGGCCGGGATTCTGGGGCTAGGTTCGACTGTAGGTGTCTCTACATTTCTCTCTAGATTGGTTTCTACAGTGGTGTCCCCTGACTGTGGCTGTAGGGTGTCAGTGACCATACTTTTATCCCCTTCCCCCTGGTCCCCTGACTTCCCTTCAGAAGTATGCTCACCAATCTGGAAAAATTGTAGCCTCTCTTCAACAAAATCCCTCTTGCTCATGTCAATTGCACCACTGCGAGTCATCTCAAACATTTTTCCTTCATGAAATGGGAAGGGGTTAGGCTCACTAGTAGGGGTACTTTCATCAGTTGGTGTTCTGGCTGGTGTTGTATCAGGGGTTGTTGCTGGAGATCGGTCTTCCACTGCCAGACCAAATGGCTTAGTTTCATCTTCCCGTGATTTACTGTCAAAAACTTCATCATCCCCTCGGTTATTAGACCAAGGGTCAAAATCTAGACCTTTGGTAGCTACTGTTTTAAAAGGAGTGGCAAATTCTTCATCTACTTTGTAACTGAAATAAGTATCAGGAAACACTGATCTGTCAGGATGTCTGCCTTCTAGTGTGAAAAACTGGGCCCCTGACTTCTGATCAGTCTTATCAGGAGTCTTTTCAGATGAAGAGCTTTTAGAAGGTGGCTTATCTTCATCTGGTCCCACCTTTCCCTCTTCCTCAATAACTTCAAGTTTACTTTGGCTAAAAGAACGATCCGCTGGCTTCAAAATGCCCTCTGTGTTCCAGAAATCTTTCTTAATTTCCATGGTTTGGATTGCGAGTTTAGAATCACTCTCTGTCAAACCATCATCTTCATCTTGCAGGTCATAGCCATCCAAAGAGTCAATCTCTGTGGCATCTGTATCATGAGAAAACTCTGCCGTGGTAGCGATGGAACACTCTGTGATGGACTGGTCGTTGTTCCCATTCTGGGCAGCTTCATTCTGAGGCGAATCAAGGCCAAGGCCAAATTCAGTGTCTCTTCCAGATCCGTTAGTTTCCAATTCTTTCTGGTTGGGATCCTTTTCAGCAGAAGCTTTGGATTTTGTCATTTCTTTTTGGTCTTCATCTACTTCCTTTAATTTGAAGGTGTATTTTTTAACTGGGGCTGGTTGATAAATAGATTCATCATCACTTGAGTCACTGATGTCTGCCCCGGGAGGAACTGGTGAAGGTGGCTGCACTCTGATGACTGGTTCAGCCAGCTGGTATTTGTCATGCTCATCTAGCAGACTGACTTCAATCATGTCGACCTCTTTTTCAGGAAGATAATGATGTTCATCTGACTCGATCTGGTCTGCATCCAGTGGTGGAGGAGGGGGAAATTCAATATAGGCAACTCTATTATTTTTTGGTCTTTGGTTAGAGTCTTTGCTCACATCATTAAGCATTTCATGCTCAACTGTTGTTGCTTCCTCCACTGTCGGCTGCTTTAAGGAGGTTGACTTGGCCTGCTCCTCCTCCTCCGATTCCTCAGAAACCTCGGGAATTGGGCTGGGTTTGCCTGGTATATAAGCTATGAGCGAGTCTGGTGTCTTAGATGTAAATTCGTAACTCACTTCTTCTGAACTGGGTGTTTCTGGGGTTAAAGGGCTTTTCCCAGAGCTGTCTAGAAAGGATACTTGCTCTAGAGTATCATCTTCTGGACTACCTTGGGGAGAAGGAGGTTGCTTTTGCTGTCTAGTAGTATAAAAGGTTCCCCGGGTCTCTTGCACTGTCTTACATTCCTGACTTATAATTTTTTTTACACTTCCTTGTTGTATCTCCTTTTCATATTGCTTCCCCACTTGTACAAAACTAACATAAACAGGTAAAGATTTTATCTCTTTCCCTCCCTCTGTCTGGACTAGTGGTGCAGCTTTTTCCAATCCATCAATGGTACTATGGTCAAATACATCACTAGAGGGAGATTCCTTTCCTGGGCTAAACTCTAAAGAATCAGGAGATTTGGTGGGAGAGGTTTCAGTTTCGTCGAGAGGCGGGCATAAGCCTACATAACTTTGATTTTTGGAAACTCTGCTGATTTCTGAATAGGTAACTCTTTCATCTTCTACAGAATTAAAGTGCTGTGTCTCAACTGTCTCTTTACTCATACTTGATTGGGATAATTTTTGTGACAGTTCATGTTTCGGAAACGTCGACTGCTCACAAAAACCATCAGGAATATTAGAAGACAGCATTCTCCTCTCATCAGCAACTCTGACCGGAATGTGCGACACTGCTGAGCTCTCACTTCTCCTGGAAGGCTGATCAAGAGATCCACCTGGATGTTCCCCGTCCTTAACAACATATTCCCTATATAAAACTTGTTTGGAGGGAGATTTTACAGTCATTTCCTTAATTTCTGAGAGAGAGCCATTTGTTAACAATTTGTGTTCTCTCTCAGTCACAGACATAAATTCACTCTTTTGATCAACACTTTTATTCTCAGGGTACGCAACGTGATTCTCTCTTACATCATGAACAAGCACATGCGAAAGTTTTTCTTTCTGTGACTTATTGTTAGTAGCTCCAGAACCTTCCCATGTTCTGAAAACCTTTTTGTCCCATGGTCCCTTAGTTGCTAAATCTGAGGTTACATGACATGCCAAGTCTTTAGACTGTTGCTCAGGAAAATAGTCAGGCATTGCTTTACTTGACATTTCAGTTCTCTGTTTTTTCACATCATCAGGGCCAGAATCATTCACAACAATTTCACTGCTTTGGACATGCTCGTCTTTAGTTTTTAATACCATAAAATCTTTTTGCACAGATACACTTTCATCGGAGAGGTCTATTGCCTTCTGCTGTTTTTCTCTAGCAAAAACTTGGTAGACGGGTAGCTTGCTCTCCTGTATTTTTTTAACTGGGATTCTGGATTGGCCATCTGGTTTTTTGTCTTCTTGAGACATGTCCTTATTTTTTGCATGTATGCCTTGTTCGAATTTTAATCTAATGGAACTGAGTTTAGATTGTTTGAGCTGAAACCCAGACTGGGGCCCTTCTGGTGCTTTGCTCTGTGAAACAGTTTCTTTGTCTTCCACTGTGGACTTGCCATCCTCAGTCTGTTGGGAAAGAAACTTCTTCTCTGGGCTGCTGGGTAGACTGGGTGCTTCCCTCTCTTCAGCTGTGGGGAAGCTTTGTCCATCATGGCCATGCTGTCTTGCCTTAACCCACTCATCACTGGATGCCAACGGTTCCATCAGCAGTACTTTCTCAGGGCTGCTACTGGTAGAGCTTTGAGAAGAGTATTCTTTGCCATTTTTAGGGCGTGGCTTTTTCTCTGGGGACTGCAGTTCATCATTTAACTTTTCGGTTCTGTCACGAAAAAACTGTGACACTTCAGTCAGTTTTTCTTCAGCCTCCTTCACAGTCCTGTCCACCCTATCTTCATATAGCAACTTCTCTCTACCTCTGTCTAATCTGTCCTCAGTAAAGCGCATCCACATGGCATGTTTTGGACTACTAACATCGCCAGAATAGTGCAACACTGTCACTTTATCAAAATGCTCATCTTTAGACACTTTACCTACCCCATTTTCAGACACATCTTTATAGATTTTGGAGAGGATTTCTTTTTTGGGGGCAGTGGCTACTTTTTCTCTGGACCGCTTATCAGACCCCTGTAACTCTGAGCTAGGGGGTCCTGCATGGTCTGTAACTGATTCCTCAGTATCAGAATGAGACACATCTAGCTTTTCTGACAGAAGCATCTTTTCAGCAAACCTGTAAGACTCCCCTCTTAGTTCTGACAACTCATCGTCATGGTATTCTATTGAGTGTTGACTCAAAAGCTTCAATGTTTTATAAGAGTCATCAGATATGAGTTGAGCAGAACTAGGACGACTATCTTCTTCTTGGGACACAGGAGTGTTTACTCTGGAAGATTCCAGATAAGACGGCAATGACTCCTCAGCAGTAAGTTCTTCTTCTTCTTGTTGACCCTGTTCCTCTGAACAAGGAAAAGCATCGTGTTTTTCTGGCAGAAAATCTTTTAGGTTAATATCTCCCCGGGATAAGTCTTTCTGATATACATACATTTCCTTTTCTGGATGCTTTTTGGTTTCTCTAATAATGACTTCAGTGGGCTCAGCTTGGTTACCTTTTTCGATGTGGACTTCTATTATACGCTCCAGTTTGGGTTTCATTTGGTTGTCCTTCTCTGCATGCTGGGCTGAGGTTTCAGCAGCAGACTTGTGAATATCTGGAGACACTGCCGACTTATGTTCAAACAGACCTGCCAGTTCTTTGGAAGGGTCCCGCCCGGACTGAAAGGCCTTCATGATGTCATGGACTGACATGGTTTCTTCAATTCGTTCAGAGGTGCCTTCACTGCCTGGTGGAGAATGATAAACCATTCTGGTGGTTGTGGTTATGTGAGTCTCTTCTTTAACACGCATGCCTTTGCTCAAAACCCGACTGTGGTCATCTTCTTCACCATTGGCTTTCATCTGAAAGGCTTTAACCTTTTCTTTAATACTAGAAGTGGTGGGCTTTGGCTCCAGTTCCATAAAAGTAGGTGAAGGTTTGGGTGACACGGGCTCCTCTGGTTGGGACTCAGGAACATCATCCGCTGAGGGCTCATAGCTCCTGATAACATGAACCACTTCAGTTCTCGTTTCTGTAATGACAGGAGGGATGGGAACTTCATGAAAAAGTGGTTTAGGACCAGTGCTTTCAGCGCTTTGTGGGGCTGAAGGTGTTTTTTCACTTCTTGTTTCAAAGCCACTGTCAGACAAGGGACTTTTATCTTGGTCATGTTGAGAAAAGTCATCTGGAGACTCTAAAATTGTATCTGTTCCAAAAAAGGAATCGGCCATTTTACATAATTCTTTCTCCGAGGTGGAAGGCCTCATGGAGGCTGGAGGCATTTTGAGTTTATGTTCCTGCAAAGCAATGGCTGGTTTTAAAATTCTTTTCTGTCTCTCTTCACCATCCTTCTTTGCATCCTCAAACTTGTACTTTAAGTTTGTCAATGAACTGCTCCCAATATCATTTGTTAGGTAATCAATAACTTTGGTCAAGTTATAATCCTTTTCAGAGGTGGTTTTTGCTTTTACTTGCACTCTTTCTGGCAGAGACGGAGAATGGCTTGCAGCAGCTTGTCTTGCTTCTTTTATTTCTTCTGAACTAAATTCTATCCAGTCGTCTTCTGGAGAATGTCCTTTGTCACTCCCAGGTGATTTGGGTGATCCTTTATTATCTACACATACATCCTTTTTAAGGATTTCACTAACTTTTACTAAGTCTTCCTTTACTTTCTCAACAATTCTGAAAGGTTCTTCATCATCAATTCTCCCTTCTTTTGGGGGTTCAGTTTGGAATGGCTTCTCTTCAGGCACATCCGTCTGTAGTATTGCTGTCATCCGCATTAGGTCCTCTTTCATCTCAGCCACGTCTTTTAGTATCTCCTGACTGGAAGATAAAGAAGATGGTGTAGACAACTTAAGGGCAGAGGGTGCAAGGAACAAAGATGACTTAACTGGAGATGAAGTTCGACTGAAATGGGGCTGTGGACGTGTCTCCGTAGTCAATGTTTTAATGGGTGACAGCAAGGCTGCTGCTGATTGTGTAAGTGAATTAGAGTCTGGAAGTTTCTTTAATGCTGGTTCTGGCAAAACATTGACTACAGAGTATACTGGCACTGTTATTATTGATGAAGTTACAGATGAGGTAGTTGCAGATATTGATGACCCAAGGGATGTATAGAGTGCACTTGTGGAAGGAGTTCTTAGAGACTGAAAAGCTGATGGTGCTGAAGAAACATACGACCTGAGTGGGGAAAATGGCATTGTTGCTGTGGTAGAAAACACTTTCTCAACTGTGTCAGTGGCTGCGTTTACCACAGAGCTAACAGAGTTTGTAGCTGTAGAAATTTTTTCTTGTAACGTGGCAGTGGCTTTGCATCCGTTGATTAAAGTTGAAGATGATGGATATTTCAGAGGGGAAATAGAGCCATTGACTAATGCTACCTCTGCATGTCCCAGTATCTGTTTCACAGGAGATGAGAGAGATGATGTCATTGTAACTTTAGCTGAAGAAATGACATCAACTGCCGATTTAGCTGGAGACACCACTGACTTTAAAGGTGATGATATTAGTGGTGCTGCTGATGTAATAATTGACTTAAATGGCAAACTGGAGGAATACATATTAATGTTTGACTTGGGGGATGCAGGAGGTGTCATAGTAATTGATGACCTTTCCAAGAGAGACCCCGCTGTAGTCACTGGAGAGGTTCGAGAGGGAAACGTAGAATTGGATGCCAGCCCTTTTAAAGGCACAGCCTCCGTGACTGTGGGCGCTCTAACCAGGGCACCAGAGGAAACTTGGATATTGTATGGAGATTGCGACGCCACTGTTTTTATTGGTGATGCAATTGCCCGAAAGGATCTAATTGGAGATGCCACGTCACTAATGGATTTAACTGAAGACGTAGTTGAGGCGCCTAGTGTGGATTTGATTGGAGAAGGAGTCGAAACAGACCATATTGATTTTAACGGAGAAGCTGATGGCGTGTTAGAGGAAGAACTTGATAAGGAAGTGAAGCCTGACTTGGCTGGCCCGGGCACTGTAATCGGAGCTGTTGTCCAGGACTGGTACGGTCTTGTAGAAAAGAATGGCTTGTATGAGTAAGTGGTGGGGAGGGATCTTGTTGCTCCTGCACTCCGTTCAACTGTTTCTTAAATTTTAAAATGAAATCAAACACAAAAATCAACAAAAACGGTTGAGAAACAGAGAGACCAGAGAAAAAAATTGGTCAGTAAACTTTGAAGTATTACAAAAGCCAAGTACAATTGTTTGCATGATTTAGAATGGAAGAGGCAAAAGGAACAATCAAGTGAAGGAGAAAAAAAAATTCTACAGACACGACTAATGCAAAGTTAAAAAAAAAAAAAAAAAGCTAAATAAATAAAAAATAGAGCAATGTGAAATGAAAGACAGAAAAAGCACATCGCAACCAAACAGGCCAACAATGAAAAACAGAAAACATGAGGAAAGAATTAATGATGAGAAAAATAACCACAATGGAAAACTGTTCTCTTACTTCCTATTGACTTTCTTACGTGCTGGTTTTGAAATATCAGTAGCCATTCTGGTTTGCCTGTATTAGGTACACGTTTGTTTTGTGCAACCATATGACTCTCGTTTTAGTAATTTCTAATGTTCCCTTTCCTTGAACCTTTTGGTGATACAGATTGCACCTACAGAGAACCGTATCAATGTATCTACTATACGTTAACTATCTAAAACTCTTTTAGAAAACCACTCAAGCCTATTTCATGCAGAATCCAAAATAACTTTTAAGTGACAGGCAACTGATGTGCAAACTGTGAAGCCACTGGATTTCAAATCTGTATCTCCCATGCACAATTCGGTTATGCTTCACACCCATAAAAAGCCAATAAGAGCAAGAAATTTTCTGAGTTAGAATTTTAAAAGAAAAAACACAAACAAACAAACAAAAAAAAACAAAACCAAAGAAAAGGAATGTTTGCATTTATCTTTTCCATGCAGTATATTCCTTTTGATGAAGGGGAAAAAGAAAAAAATGTAATATGAAATGGTTTAAAAATGCATGTGTCTACAAACACACACAAAGGAAAAAAAACAACAGAAAATATGGTTCATGGTTACCATAAGCAAGCAAAGCAACCTAAAACATTTATCATGCGCGTTAGATCATGGCAAACAAGCCAATGAATAATACAATTCGTATGCCATATTATGCACAATATATAAACTTTAAAAATACTTTCACAAGAGCATTTAGAAAGAAGAGTACACTTTTTCCATGAGATGTGAAGTCTTGGTACCTTTTGAGATTCTAGGAAAATATTTAATACTGCACACTTAAAATAAATCTGCAACTAAATAGATCCGTGTCTGTAGCTGTCATCATTATGGATAGAAGCACATAGTTTAGCTCAGGTATTTTTTCAGAATCTACTGTACTTTTAATTCTCAAAAGGTATCATGGGGGAAAATCTAAAAAGCACAGTCATATTTTTTAATACCCCATATTTAAGTACCTAAAGTGGGATATGGTATACATATGTATATATATTTATCCACTGTAAAGGTACCAATTCTGGTGCCTTCTCAAATTTTTTGTGGGACTGATGGATACCCCCTATACACTGGAGCAGCCACAAGGTAGACCTACCACTAGGACACATGGATGTAATACCAGCATTCTTCTAGCAATGGGGCAAGAAACACACAAATGGGGTAAGCACACTCACTGGAGAAGAGCAAACAGAGCAAACACGCACTCAGTCCTCTCTACCTCTACAACTCAAACAAACCGAGCTGGTCACAGGGATTTGGAATGCCTGCCAAGGGCCAACATTCTATGCCAGAGGTGAGTACAGTCTCGCTCCCAGAAAGCACTGGTTTAGAGTAATAGTGAAACGTGAAGAGGAAATGAGACTCTGCTTCATCTTTTATCTTCATGCTGTGCCCGTGCCATTGCTACAATCCAGTCCTTGCATTAGCAGCTACTCCCACAAGGGTGAAGATTTTCATTCCTAGTTTAAATTTTCATTTAAATTCAAACATTCAGAACACATCCTTTTCTAGGCTTACATATTGTTCTAAAGAAAAGTGGACAAACTAAGGAAAAACATACCCATTCATTACCCCTCCTAGCCACAATTCTTAATAGTATACAGCTTCCCTCTTACAGAAAAACCACACTGCACATGGAAGGTTTGGGGAGTCCTTCGATTCGATGATTTGGGCTCAGTCCAATGTCTCAAGAGTTTATTTTTGTAACTACCAGAATTGGCAAAGCATCTCTGTCTGTTACCACTGAAGGCTGGCTCCATCATGCAAAGAAGTCTTCTATGCTTTTATACTTTGCTCCGCACAGGGCAGACCACTTACTGATCAGTTACATATTTTATGCTTTCATGGCACATATTTTGTGATTCGTTTGTAACAGGGAGTTTCTGATCGTCAGACACTGAAATACATCAGAACTGTTTTTTTTTCTGGGAGGGAGGGAAAGGTGGCATTCTGCTGGAGTTCTTAACGCCAACTCAGGGGCCATGACTTTTCCTTAGTTTTCTTTGTTGTGGTGGCGCGATGGTGTGCCATCGAGTAGATTCTGACTTTGAGAGACCCTATATGACAGAGTAGAACTGCCCCATAGGGTTTTCTAGGTTGTCATCTTTACAGGAGCAAATTGCCAGCTCTTTTCTCCTGTGTACTGGTGGGTTCAAATGGCCTACCTTTTGGTTAGCAGCCGAGTGCTTAACCATTGCACCACCAGGGCTCCCTAGTTTTCTTTTAGTCCCTCGTTATTCATTTTCATTCCTCTGTTTAGCACCCCTTATGCTGCCTTTCATAAAACAGAGAAAAGAACCCTTCCCTTCTCTCCAAAGTCAAAGAAGACAAGCTGCATATACCTTAACTGAAGTTAACCAAAAAGTAGCAATACTTTCATAAGTGGGAAAAATACAGTTGATTTAGTACATACCTGACCCTATAACTCTGATGTCCTGCAAACAAACTAACAAACACCTTAGGGAAAAGATCAGATGGAGCTCACCTGCCCAGAGATGCTTCTGACCTAAGTAGCTGGTCATCCAAAGCTCAAAGATATTACCTAGGCATGCCAACCACCTAGCCAGTGAGCGTCTTAGCTCTGGAGCAAAATAGTATTCCAAAGAAAATGCCTAACCAGTGTACTTAGTTGTATTAAAAAACCATCTAGTTTTACACACACATACCCCTCCCTTGCTCTGTAGCTTAACAGGAGTTAATTTCAGCCCTTACACTTTTGGAAGAATTTAGATATTCTGCTAGAGGAGGAGACGGAGGTCTAGAGGAACATTAATGAGCAAGGTAGGCTTTCAGTCCTCTTGGGCGCCCCCTTTTGTATCTGAATATAAAAGTTTCCCTAGCAGTCAAGGAGCTAGACTCCAGAAGAATATGCTAAAACCATCTGAGGAGTAGGGTGGTTTTCTGTTGCACAGTTTATATGCTATGCTGAACCACAGTAACGTGAATTCAGGAAAGTGGGAAAAATCAAAGTTGTGGCTCTTCCTAGTAAATCCTCCCTGCACGCAAGGAACTGTGCATCAATGGGAAACAGCTAGCAACGATTCATTAATTAAATTTTTCTTTTTTTTTAATAAATCCTCCTCTAAATGAAGCATTGATGGTTAAAGTGGTACCACTACCCTACCTACGTAAACACAGTGCTGCTCGCAGGACTTTTAGTTCCCTTTGGTCGAGGGAATTATCTTGAGGGCGGTGATCACCAGAGTTGGTAATTATCAGGGAAGGAGGAGAAAGAGAGAAAATATGAATGAATGAATCTATTCCGTGGCACCTGCAAGCCAGTTCACAATGAACCAAAACAGTCACTGAGAGAAGAAAAAGGCTTAGCGGGTCCAGGGAAGACCAGCCTTACAACTGACTATTTTAGTAAAGGAGAAAAAGGGAAAAATTGGGGAGGGAGGGGAGGGGAGGAAGGGAAAAAGAGAGAGAGCGAGAGATGGAGGGGGAGGAAAGAAACAGGACATCAGAAAACATTTAAAGTGCTCCCTCAAGGAAGTAGGAAAATATAATTCTTGCATAGTGGAGAGAAAAAGAATCAGGACTAGGGAAAAATGACCTAACTATATTAAAAAAAATGAGAGGGCAACCAAAGTAATTATCATCCTTTCTACCACCACAAATATGGGGGTAACTTTTTCTCTTCTGAGCATAAAATTTAAAGCAACATTGGTATTTATCTCCTAGCATTGTTAACAGTCAAAGTGAAACCAAGATTTTTAAAAACAAGTAATGGCTGTTTTTAATTATAAAATAGTGACTTTTATAAAACAGTGTTTTGAAGCTCTGCTCTAGGAGTGCTTGCATCTCATTATCCTTAACTGTGTACAATACATTCCTTAGATTTCATGATAGGGTCTTCCTATAGGCAATTTTTCTTCTGCCAGTGGGTTTCTAAATGACTCCAAAATTCAGTGTGTATAGAAAAAATGTCTCTTCTTATAAAAGTCCACGTAGATTAGTAAATGTGTTAGAAAACTCACTCATTCCAGGTTCAGTCAAGTAGCTGTAGCGCTTACGTAAAGCTAAAGATGCAAAACTCTGTCGTCTATCTGTTTTCTCGGTCTGAAAAACAAAAAAAAAAGAGCGACTACGTTTCTAACTTCTTTAAGACACTTTCCTAGTATTGCCAACATTTGTAGGATAGCATGTTGCTATCTCATTTATCCTTATTTTTCTTTTTACGTATTTTTCTCTTGGAAATGTTAATTTCCTACCAGGCTTCTACAATCTCATACCAATGTCTCAACCAAATAATCATCATTTAGCAAATATAAGAGCACCAACACAGCAGACTACAGGGAATTACAAATAAAAGACGAGCATTACAGAGACTTCTGATGCTGAGCAGTAAATTTACCCAAATCCATTCGTACTGAAAGCACATGTATCACAGAGTACACTCACTCTACGTGAGTACACGCAAGGAAAAAGGGCACATACAGTTTATTTCGATTACTGCTGTTGTTTCTCTCGGTTAATAGGCATACAGTGTAAATATGAAGATTAAAAGCAGGTTAACGGTATTAGAAATAATGCTAATGAATTCTATGGCTGCTGATTTATTATTATTAATGTGTGCGTTTAAAAAATCCAATTATTATGTAATTTGGAGAAATATTAGGAGATAACATAAAAGGAAAAATTCATTCAAATCTTCATTGAACACTATACCTTTAAAAAGGCCCAGATAAATTTCTTTAAATAGAATACCAAATATTTATCAATGGCCAGTTAAAAAAATATTTTATATCATGTAAAATATAAGTATATTTGTACAAGAAAATTTCATACATTAAACACGATCTATTAGACATAACACAGTGGATACTAGGTGAAAATATGTACATGAAACTTAAAAATACAGATGTATATTTATACATTCTAATCTATCACATTTAAAAATGTTTAAAGAACTTTAGTTCTTTTTAAATCATTAGCTGGATTATCATTTTTGTTGAATGTACCGGAGTACTCTTTAATACATGTTGAGGAACAGTGAAACCATTCTTTAAGAAAAAATGTATCCTCTTTACCTCACTTAAGCTAAGATCTGCAAAAATATAATTAATACATTCCCCACACTTCAGCCCTCTGTACTTCTTTTACACAGATTTCTATTCTACCTCTGATAGAATAAAAGCAGAAGTGTTCATATTACCTCATCATCTTGATCTGACTCTGTCTCCTTTTGGTCCCAAGATGCATTGCAGAGACAAGGAATATTATAATGGACAGCAGGGAAAAGAATATCAGGATATGAAAAGGACTGAGTAGGGAGCACAAAACGCAAGCTGATTTAGAAAGCAAAGCAAATTAAAAGAAGCCAAAAACAAAAAAAAAAAATCAAGAACTGTACATCCACGGCAAATTAATGTGTGACATCATTTGAAAGCATAAAAATCTATGAACTTCCAGTGGAAGCAGAAGCAATAAACAGAGGACCCCATCATACAAACCATAGGAATTTGACACCACAATAACAAGACTTAGTCAGTTCACACACAGAGACTAATAAAACTTAAGTTCAAGAGCTTTAATCATGTTACAAAGCATTCCTTTACTGCATACCAAGAGCCCACTTCTTCAAGACTAGGGAAAGTTAAAATAAACCACTATTAAAAGATACCTTTTTATGTGCTGGCAGAGTGATATTTAAGTTGCAAACAGCTGTCTGAGGCAATCCTTTTGTTGTCTTTGGTTCTTTCAGAAAAGACAAACGACCGCAGGGCTCTTGGCTGGTGTCTCTAATCTAGAAGAATTTGGATAGTCGACAGTTATAGAGACTCTGAGCAGTGGCATCACGGAGCAGGGTGGTTAAGGGGTGCAAACCGCACTGGGTGACACCGTCAGAGGGGTTGACACTAAAATGACGGTCGATAATAAAATCTATGTGCAGTGTTTTATTATTTTTTATAAAAATATCCCTGTTATTATAACAGCAAAAACATTTTTCATAAGCCCAGCTTACATGTATTGATATACCTACGAGGCTAAAATTTTATGCTGATTTACTTTTTGAACCTTCTAATGCACTCCGGTCAGAGCTGTCATTATTACCCAGTTAAATGATGCTTTGAATTATGTGGTGTCCTCTGCAGGCGCTACAAGCACGTGCTGTTCTTTTTGTTGCTGCCGTTGTTTTTATAATTTGATGATTTTGTCAAATTTTCTGGTGTTTTAGCTATAAGAGTGTGATAATTAGTATTTGTGAACCTATATCAATATCTTTTTTGAGAATGAAGTAGTAATTAAAGAAAAAGGAGAAAAATCAAAAAGGCTTCCGCTCAGTTACTAGTAATGTTGTAATTCGATGTAGGAAGATTTTACAAAACAATTTTGTTAAGTGTTCATATAATCTAAGAAATATTACATTTAAGCAATTTGCAACTATATTTATCGTATTATTCTGTGACTAAAACTGCTAATAAACCTTACTAAGGATTCTGTATGATCTGGTACAGAAGGAGGTCCATGGGAGGAAGTCACAACATGAGTTACTGCATGGGATGACAGCAAGCCTAGTGACGGCCACTGTTTCTGAAGGTTCCTGTCTATGTAAGAATTAAGTGTACTTGTTTTATAAAGCCCATCAGGAGGCAGGAAAGGTAAAGGACAAGATGGTAAAAACAATTACATGTCAACCAGGGTGGTCACATTTAGAATGTCTGACTCCTAGCCTAAACACAGGATTGTTGTGTCTGCTTGTCTTATCCTGACAATCTATTCTATAGTCTGGGTTTTATGCATTTTCTTACTGCCTTATAATTTCTTTTGCTCACAGCCTAGTATAGAGGCAGTTTTAGTAACAATAACAACAGCAAATAATAATAATTAATAATAACAATTGTCCTTTCTTCTGTTCCCTGAGGAGGAAGAAGGATTCTCCAGATTGTTCCTGGGCTCCATCAGAGATGAAACAAATACTAAATATGGATTTGACCCATCAATTGATTACTGAGCATCCACCGGGTATGATGGATTTTATTATCCTAGTTTGTTTGACCTGACAAACATTTGCTTAAACACCAATGATTATTAAGCTGTTTAAAAGGTAAAGACTATTTTTACTAATTATAAAGCTTTACTGGCTCAAAAGTACATTTGGGTAGAATACGGACAAAATGTGACATTGTTCTTACGAGTTCAGGTTTGGTGGGATACAGCAAACTAAATAAATCATTAAAATCTTTTTTTTAAATTATTATTCTTTAAGAGCATTTTCTTTTTTAACAGAGTCTCTGCTGAAGATGACTTACTTTGACGGAAAATGGCAGTCTATTTTCTTTGAAAGAATAAAAGTTAAAAACAAGTTGCTGTCCTCCTTTGGTAAGTGGGGCCAGATTTCCGTAACAATCAACATAAATAGGTTTTCCTTCCAGAACCTTTTAGAGTAAAAGAAATACATAATTGATATTAATTTGAGTTGGAGGAATTTTGGAATTTTAAGTCACATAACATTAAAAGACTGACATGTTTCTATATCACTTTTGTGTCTTTATAAGGAAATTACTTTTGCAATGCTGTTTGCTACCAAAAAAAGGTAACTCCATTGGCTCATAGTTCAGCAGTTCTGATTAGAAGCTCTGTCATGGATACATACAAAACAGAAGTATATACTTGTCTCTATTCTGGTAGCTTTAAACATGTTTGAGAAAGTGCCTGACATAATCACTTATTCATCCAGACTTTGAAAGAATTTTCTTTACAGTTATAGTGGGAATCGACTCGATGGCAACAAGTTTGGTTACATACTTATCTGTCTATGCAGGTAAGTATTTTCCTTGAAAAAGAAAATAATGGAAATGTATATAGACAGTGACAATGAAAATAACTCAAATAGTCACAGAAAATGGAGATTATGATTTAGACTCATTAGTACTACATTTTAACCAACTAAAATAACCACAAAGATACTTAAAACAATTTGAGAATGAATTTGCATTGAATTTTTTAAACAAAAAGTAAAATCAATAATGTATTTGGTATTTATAGCGAGTACTGTTATAGTCTCAAAATAAAACCCCATATCTGGGTGACGTAATTACACGAACTTGTTTTTGTGAACAAGGTACCTCAATATCTTTGCTTCTTGCAACTTCCTCAAAATTCTCTTGCTGCTCTAAAGTTTTGTCTACTTTGTCATCTGTCATGCAGAAACATCTCAGGGAGGATTCCACAGGATCATTCATTTTGGCAAAAACAACAAACTTGGCCATATATGGAACACATATTAATTCTCTATACAGTTGCGTGGCTAACCCAACGGTTTCTAAAACTTGATGGCAGTCTGCGAGCCAAAACCTGAGAAAAACGAAAGTATGAAAATGAAATGATTTAAAAGTCAAATCTTCAAAACATTCACGACTAAAAACATTAAAGTATTTAAGGGAACTACACAAAAATACTATTGTTCACATAAACGAAAAGTAAAAATGGTTTACTCTATTTGTCAACCACAGAAACCCTGTGTTTATTATTTGATTATAATTTTGCTAAGGATTTTTTTTCTCTTTCATCTTCCATATAGTTCTTGTTCCCTTTTTACACATACCATGATAAGCTTTCCTTTCTACTCTCCCTACTTACTTGTTTAATTTATGACTTTACCATTGGAAGGAGCAAGAATTTTATGGGGAAAAAAGGAGAGAGAAAGGAAAAGCCTGTCAATTTTTATGAATTGCTAAGAACTTCCTGTTGGAAGGAGCAAGTTGGGCACCTTATGGCTTCCTCTGAGAATTGGATAAAATGGCTTATATTGGCAAATTTTAAATTTCTAAATTAGGACCAACTTCACCATCAAAATTAAAAAAAAAAAAAAAATCATACTGGTATTAAGCACAACAATTTTTACTTTTCAAAGGTAATGAAACTAATTCATCAGTGCTTTCTGAAATTTCTTATCTCCGTACCTGGCTGAAACATTGGTTGTAAAGGAGACACAATCCTTTATAAACGTCAAAGGAGTAGTTCCTGTGATGTCTTCCCACTGAGCAGGTGAGGTGCCCCCTGAGAGAACAATAGCAGATATGTTGGCTTCATGATGGGAGGTGCTCCTTGTGAAAGTTCCAGCATTATCCTGTTCTTCCTGCATAGCCAGTTACTGGCAGAACTTCAACACTTTCAATTTAATGACATGTCCTGAAGGTAGTTTTCCTCTCAAGTCTCCTTTTATAGTTTAACTGGCTTAATGTGATGTCCTTGTAAGATATGACTAGATTTTTAAAAAATTACGTTTCTGATTGTTTGGATATGAATGACTGGCTTAAACTTGGGGCAACCACAATTTTTAAGTACATTTTGAGTGCAAAGATCTGTCATTTCAGACAGACAATATAATTCATATGTATCTTTAAATAGGTAAGACTTTTAAGAAAGTTAAGTAGCGGCTCATTTTGTACTGATTGAACCATTTAATTTTCCAGAGGAAAAGGGGGGGAATCAGCCATTAAAATTACCCCTCAATCTGACTGAGACTGGAGGAACCCTCGAAGATATGGCCCTTGGATGCTCTGTTAACCCAGAACTAAAACCATTCCCAAAGTCAACTCTTCAGACAAAAAGATTAGACTGGACAAGAAAACATAAAGTAATACTTGTGAAGAGTGTGCTTCTTAGTTCAAGCAGATACACGAGACTAAATGGGCAGCTCCTGTCCAGAAGCAGGATGAGAAGGCAGAAAGGGACAGGAGCTGGTTGGATGGACAAGGGAAACCCAGGGTGGAAAGTTGGGAGTGTGCTGTCACATTATAAGGATTGCAACTAGTGTCACATAAAAATATATGTATAAACTTTTGTATGAGAAATTAACTTGAGCTGTAAACTTTCACATAAAGCACAATAAAAAAAAAAAATTTGGAAGAAAATATTAGCCCTCAGAAAAATCCAACCTATCTTTAATAATCTTCTATGTTTCAGTTAAAAATCAGATTGGGTTAATCAAATGAGGGACTGAGCTTTGGAGTCCAGGCCCTTATCACACAATGTGTTCTCATATGCCCTGTGTATTTAGTCTGTTGGATTACACTAGTGAACAGAGTATGAGAATGCTTTAATCAAGTGCTCAACACTTTTTTACTACTAGTGCTCTATGCTATCTCTGTTTTCCCCAGAATCCATCCAATTTTCTGGTAGTTTAAAGGGTATCGTTGCTAGGTCCACTGCCTCTGTCTAGGTCACAGAGATATTATCTGAATGCTCCAGCTGATTCAAGATATCTCAATAACCTTAATAGACCCCCTTAAAAGGGGTCTATTACTGTTAATAGCAGAGAATGGGGGGAAAGTGATACCATCAAATTTTAAGAGAGTCATGAGACCAGCATCTTAAATAATTCCAGGGATAACAGAGATGAGGTGATGAAAAAGTAGCAAACATTCTTATTTTCTCTTTTCTATTCTTATAATGTTGGCATGGGTGTTTCAAAGGTTTTTACATCTTTGTACAGAATCCTTGAAAATGTTAGCATCAAGAGAAAGTACAGCATCGACTTAACCAAACCTGTAATGCTACAGAGAAGACGCAGATTGGGTGTGGTGTCCCCCTTGTACCCATTGGATACGCCTTCTCCTGAAGGTGGGGGCACCGGAATGGTCATTGTGATTGGTTTATGGAATTTCCTTCTTCTTGGTTCCACAGTGACGATTGGGCTAAATGTTGCTTTATTTCCAAGGATCTTTTTCACAATTTCATCTGGAACAGGCTGGGCCTAGAGGCAGAGAAAGAACGTTAAATGAAAGTGGTTATTTTTCTTTCATCAGAAAGTTGATTTTTTTAAGTAAGAAGAAACGGGGAGAAAAGAACGAAACAGCCAACAAAAAACACGCCTTTCCTCTTTATCCTCTCTCACTATTTCGGGAAGGGTTTTTTTTTTTAAAAAAAAAAAACAAAAACAAAAATAACTCAATACTGGACCCCTGGTGGCACAGTGATTAAGTGATATGGCTGCTAACCAAAAGGTCAGCAGTTTGAATCCACCAGCCGCTCCTCAGAAACCGTATATGGCAGTTCTACTCTGTCCTACAGGGTCACTATGAGTCAGAGTCGACTCGGCGGCAACAACAACGGGTTTGGGTTTTTTTTTGTTTTGTTTTGTAGTATGTTTATGCAGGCCCTAGTCAGCCTGAGTATTTCCCCAAAAGAACAGGAAAGGCATCTATCTGTTTGTGTGAAAGACGCAAATCTCATAGCAGAGAAGCCTCTTCATCTAATTAACCAAAGTAAAAGGATGACTACTGAGTTCAGTATGTTTTAAACCTATGGAAAGCATTCAGTAAAACATCTCAAAGGCAACTCTGCCCTTGAAAAAAATTGAGGCTTTCAGAATTAAGTAACAAAAAGGCATTCAAAATTTCAGAGGATTTCAATTCCAGTTACCAAACCTAACTTCTTACTTTTGGTTTCTTTGCTATTTGGTAAAATAAGAGAGAGAGACCGTGAAGGGACCCTGACACCACTGTAGTGTAAAGTGGTCTCTTTAGCCTCAACTGTTTACTGAAGGCCTCTGTAGGCCTTAGGGTGCTTATCAGCTCTAAAAAGCTCAACGACTCCCTCAGGTATGAGAGTCCAGGCCCATAAAAACAGCATGGACTTTCAGTTAAACTACTGAAGTTAGCTTACAATACAAATTAACTTATTTTCCTGATTCAGTTAGAAGAAGAACTAGTAAAGATCTAACTGATATGAATAAATATAAGGAAGACCATTCTTATTAAGATTTCCAGTCAGCTTTCCAAACCAAAACAAGTTCCAACTGATTTGGATATAAACCAGCATTTATGATATCTTTAATTCAAACCAAAGCTTTGAAGCTTGCAAGTTTCACTATTTCTGATTTTTAATATGGCATATTATATAGCAAACCAATTTTTGTTTTTAATGGTATATTTGCTCTTTGGTGCTTTTGTTGCTCCATGTACTGAGACCAAAAACCTGTGGTTAAAAAATATTATCTTTCATCAGAAACCAAATGAGACTTTTAAACATAAAAACCCTAAAATATGTACCTTATTTAATAAGTCACTAAGCTAATTTAGTGCTTTAACTTAGTACTTAAGCTAACGCGAACATTTTTCACTCAAAATAGGTTAATGATTCCCAAAATTGCCTAACACATTATTTAGCAAAATCATTAAGAGTGAGTTATGACGACTTTTTCCAGAGCAGAACACGCTCTATACGTGTACTGAGGAAAACAACTTCTTATGAACATTACCTGGAGGCCCACTCGAATTCTTTTGGTTAAGGCCCCCTCTGGGAAAGATGCCTGGACGAGGGGCACAGTGGTACTGCTCAGAATTCCACCTTCCGGACCAATCTGGTTGCTTTCTTGCTTAATTCGTGAAACTACTGCAAAATACTGGGGAAAATCCTTAGTAATAATCCTGCAGATACGCTTTTTCCCTAACTCCTCTGGGCTATCAAGTTCTGAAAAGACAAATAAATGAAAAGGCAATGAGAATAAGCTTATCTACAGAACACCTTGAAACAAGCTGATATGTAGTTTAGAGAGCCAAGATTATTTATATTCAATAGTATAAACAGAGTTTTTATGATAAAGAGAAAACTATAGTGATCTTAAGATTATATCAAGTTTTATAACAATATTTTAAAGCTTTTCATATATAGTACTTGTAGGAAAATACTTTTACTGAGGAGAAACAAATTGGTATTTTACCACATCTCTGTGGACAAATTTCCACTCTTCAATACCTCACTCTGTGGATTATTTACGAAATCTGCTCTCAAGCTGCCAAAAGTAGGAATGAGTCAGAAAGAAGTGGGGCCTCACAAGAAAGTGAATAAAGACTTAAGTATGTCTGAAAGGATCTAGAATGGAATTTAAAAGTCTTTCAAATGTTTTTTACCCAAATGACTAGAATCATCATCACCAATTTCTTTCTGCCCACCAATAGCCCTCATACATCAAACTCAACATAGCTACAAATGACCACCTTCCTTCCCTCAGTCCACCTCCAAGTCTACTTCTTCCCCTGCAGTCCTAACACTGGTAAAAGCACTACAATTTGCCCAGTCCTCCAGTCTAACAGCTTTGACTCACTTTCCCTCATACTTAAGGGTAAAAGTCCAAACCAAACCAAACCAAACCCATTGCTGTTGAGTCAATTCCGACCCATAGCGACCCTACAGGACAGAGTAGAACCACCCCATATGGTTTCCAAGGAGCAGGTGGTGGATTCAAACTGCCAACCTTTTGGTTAGCAGACAAGCTCTTAAACAGTGTGCCACCAGGGCTCTGGTAAAAGTCCAGTTGATTCTATTTGGAAATGGCTCACTTTCCCGCCACCCTCTTTATTCAGGACTTGTTATAGCTTGCCTAGATTACAGAGATCACCTCCCAGCCATCTACCCACCATTCTCCTCCCCTTACTCCAGTCCATCTCCCACAGTGCAGCCAGCTGGATCCTCTTTTAAAAGCCAACTTTTATGCAGAATTCTGTTAGGTTTAATGGGAACCAATTATTTTAAAAATCATATGGAATAATAAATATTTGAGACTCGCCAGAAATATTCTGAAAAAGTGGGTTTGTGAGAGAATTTGTCATTTAAGATACTAAAACTTACTTAGAAGTACTGTAATAAAACTGTATGGTACTGATATAAGAACAGACTGGGAGAGACAAATAAAGAATCCAGCTTGAAACAAGCACGTGTCCCTCAGTGAGGAAATGGGTTAGTTACATAAATCGTGGTATACGCACACTCTTGACTTTCCTGCAGCTATTAAATAGGATATATACACATACACACACATGTATACTATATATATGTAAGTCAATATATATTTTTATATATGTGTTATGTATCTAAAGTAACATATTCAAATTAGATTCACATACTTAAATTTCAAATTAGTGGAGAAAAGACAGTTTCTTTAAAAAACGGTGTTGAAACCAATGTCATAAAACAATGTGTACTGACTGTTTAATGAGAAACTATTTGTTCTGTAAACCTTCACCTAAAGTACAATAAAAAAAAATGGTGTTGACATAACTGAAAATCTATTTTGAAGAAAACTACCTCTTGCCATATATAAATAAAAATTCCATTTGGAGAACAGACTTAACTACTTTTAAAAATAGAAATATTACAAAAAATGCTGGTGCATTTAACCTTAGGTAGGAGAGATTTTCCTACATAAAACTGGTAACCCAGAAGGTTCAAGGTGGTTTTACATAAAAATGAAAAGCTTTATATGACAAAAACAGTAACTTGAAAGACAAAAGGTAGACTGTGAAAGATAATAGCACCCATGACAAATAAAGCATGAATATGCTCAATACCAAGAGCAGCTACAAGTTGACAAGATTAACAAACAAGACAATAGACAATGGGTAAATGTTATAAACAGGCAATTCACAGCAGCAGAAAAGTGACCAAGAAACATATTAAAATGTTCAAACTTGATAATTTATATAGAAATGCCAATTAAAAGAAGCTATGCCCTCCCTCCAAACACACTTCCTTTGATTAGCTAAATTTAACGAATATCTTGTTTAAATGAAAATGAAATGAAACAGATGCTTTCATTCATTGCTGGTGGAGTGTGAAACAACAATAAGCTTTTGAGAAAGTAATCTTGCATCATCTATTCAAAATGGAAATGCACCTACCCTTGGACCCAGCAACCCCATCTTATGGCGTCTTTCCTACAAAGGTATGCAAAGCAGCATTGCTGGTAGTGATTAAAGCTTGAAACAAGCACATGTCCATCAGTAAGGAAATAATGGGTTTGTTACATAAATCGTGGTATATGCACACTCTTGATTTTCCTGCAGCTATTAAATAGGATAATTTCAATTCATCTGCCAAATATTTACTGAGGGCCCACGGCGTGCAGGCACTGTTCTAGGCATTGGCAATACAGCAGACAGCAAACAGAAGTCACTGCTCACATACAGCTTCTGATCCAATAGTGGGGGAGAGTGCACTCACCACTAAACAAGGCTGAAGACAAAGTAAGTCGAGGTGAGGGGATAGAGTTCTCATTTAAATAGGATGATTAGGAAAGACCTCTCTGAGGAAATGACATTAGAAGAGAGATCTCAGGAAGGAAGTTAGACAGATAAAGACTGACCAAATAAAGTATATAAAATACAGTATATAAAGCGGGGAAAGAGGCTGACCAATGTGCATAGTGTGATTCTCTTTTGGAGGAAAAAGTAACCGGTACATGTTTGTATGTTTTTATAAGAGAAATTTGTAGAAGAAACATTTTAGGCTGTTAGCACTGTTTACCTCAGAGAGATGGGAAATGAAGTTGGGGGGCGGGGGTAGGGAGGTGAGAAAAGGGTGGGGATGAGGCATTACTGCCCTTGGGTTTGTATCGTTTTGGTGGTTTTCCTTGTTATAAAATAAAGGGAAGATTCCCAAACTCAGAAGGTATTTTTGTTTTGTTTTTTATTGCTCATATAAGTCTTTCTTCATATCTCTGATACACACAGCACATGTCCTACTGTCCCTTAACTATTAATATGTCTGCCTCCTTTATTAGACACATTGGGCTGAGGTCATGATTTATTCTAAATGAAAATATGTAGAATGGCAAAATGGATGATTAGATAATTGTATAAAAGTTGTCTGCTTCTCATTTTACAGTTCAACCACTGAACTCTGAGATGGGATGGCCAAACGAATTATCAAGTAGGAGAAAAACAGGTTTAACTCAGATCAAAAGTAGAACTGGAATTTTGCTCTTCGTTTCCTCATCATCCTCTTCCCCTCTGCCCTATCCAAACCTAACCACCAAATCCTTAGTGAAGGGAAAAAAAAAGGTAAAGAGTAAAAAAAGAAGGATTAGTTATAGAAAAACGGGAGGGAATAAAAAATTTGGTCAGGAGAAAATATTCTGAGGCAGTTTTCACCTATTTAGTAATTAATAGGAAATAAAAGTGTTCCTTAAAAAGAAACATGTATTTTCCTCCTCATGAGTCTGAATTTCCAGAGTTCATAACTAATGCTTCAACCATGAAAGTACTGACAATTTGTTTAAATTACTGTGGAATACATCATCAGCTAAATTTTTTTCACCTCAGCCTCAAACTTGTCATTATGTTCTTCAGAAATGGCTTAGGACTCCTTAGAGTACAAGCAATCTAAGAAGACTATGCCATGAAATTTATATCCTTCCAACAAGAAAGATTTCCTAACTCTGCATATAGCAAGTTGTGTATTCTGTGAGTATGAATTTTACTCAAAATCAGTCTGGAACCACCAGAGGGAGTGAGGCATCTTTCAGGAGACCTATAGTAATGTGAGGGGCCCTGGTGGCGCAGTGATTAAGAGCTCGGCTGCTAACCAAAAGGTCAGCAGTTCGAATCTACCAGCTGATCCTTGGAAACCCTATGAGGCAGTTCTACTCTGTCATACACAGTCACTATGAGTTGGAATTGACTTGATAGCAACGGGACAGTAATGTACACTTCCTAGCCGTGTGTTCACGGCTAGGTATACGCATGTACACTAGTGTAGATTTGACGAAGAAAGAGCTGCCTCGCCCCCTGGAAACTCTAATAGCAATGGATTGGGAGGAATCGATACTTTGTTTAGTGGATGTGGCCTGGCCATGTGCACACTGTATTACCTTTAATACGTCATTAAAGCCACCCCAAATATAAAGTGCACATGTATATCTAGATGCAGCAGAGGAGTGGTAAATGGAGAAGCTCAGATTTCGAACTATATAAACAGAGAAGGTACCAGGTTACACTCCACACCCAACTGCTGACATCTTTTAGGATTTGCCAGCGGCTTTCTGTTTTAAACATTTTAGCAATTCCTCTCAACAGCAAAACTTATCTAACTATTGATAACCTTCAGTGTGTATTTTAACAAGTACTTTGAAGATAAGCCTCAACCCAAAGGAACAACCAATGTGGGAATTTTAGGCATTGCAGTGGGCAAGTGGGAGCAGTTAGGGTCCCCGTGCATCCGTCTTTAAATAGAATCATACATACACCACCTTCTTGAAGTACACAGATTCCCAGTCCTCTGCATAATGAAATTGAGAAACTCTAACTGCACTTAGCGAGGTTATATTCTGTTTACATTTGTGCTTAAGATATTTGTAACTATTTCCTGAGAATAAAAATAAATCAATAGAAAATATGAAAAATACAAAAAATATATTTAAATATTGGTTTGTAAAATGAGTCAATCCTTCAAGAGCTACAGTTGAAGGGTAGGCTATTAAACTCCACAGTATCTGCTAAAGTAAGAAGAGAAATGATATAGATAGTAGGTAAGTGTGAGGAAGCAAGAGGAGGAGGTGAAAACAAGTTAGTAAAGGCACTATAAAATTCTTATGAATGGAAAAATCTATCACAGGACCTTACTGACCATCAACAGAACAGAGGTTAAATAAATTATGATATATTCATACAATGGAATACTGGCCAGTACTAAAA